GTGTGGAGCAAACTCAATCTATTTGCTACTGATTTTTAGTGAGTTTTAACGTGTCAAGATATTTGTATTGGTAATATCCTTTCTGCTCTTTTTGTAACAGGGCACTTGGATTTACGAAAGGAAAATGCATGCGTCGGCGCGTCGCGTCGTACTTTAATAGGCGGCCATATATATTATATATCAGTATATATAACCTTGCCATGTTCCATGTTATCTTGTTTTCATAATTTTAATCGGGTGCTGACAGTTCTTTCCAAGTGACGTTTTCTCTACGGTTAAATTAACCTCGACTGACCTGAAACACGGAATTTCATTCAGGCGCTAATTTATGAAGTGAAATTGTGCTAAAAAATGAGAACAGCGCGCCTGTTCCGCGCTACTTCATGCTTGTATATTCAAATTCAATACTAGGTACTAAATCAACAAGATAAATACCTGTTTTGGTTTTAATGATACAAACCAATGATATATATATATATATAAAACCAATTACCTAGGGCTAGGGGTATATAAATAATATAATTGTCTTCTTGCAAACTTCAAAAATTGTGAGAATGTAGGATGAAATGACTATAGTCACAACAATATTTATCAACCGGGTTTTGTCTTGAACAGCCAAAATATATATATAAAAAGATCTTGATATCCAAATGAACGAAATATAGTGATCTATCATTTTACGCCGGGTGTTTTTTGTTCATGAAATTCTAGCTACATATTTTGAACGACGACATATTATATCAAACTGTTATTGAGTACTCGAGTCATGTACGTCATAGTTTATTAGATATAATGACAACTAATCGTTGCTCTTTCAATACATTTTGTTCTTCATCACGTATTTTTGCCAAAAGACGTAAAGATCTTTGAGAGATTGGGAAGAAACTACGCAAAAATTAGTAATTAGAATTTCCGGAACTTTTAATTAAGTAAAACTGAACTTTTGTGTTCAAACATCATTACAGTCGATTTCATTTGAGTAAGTAACTAAATAAGTAAGTAGGTCAAAGAGGCCTACTGTCGGACGGACGGATGAGAGGCTAAACTGCGGACGGACGAGTATAGAGGATAAAAAGCGGACGAACGGCTGGACGGACAGACCGATGAGAGGGCAGATGAAAGAGTAAACCGTACGATAAATAAACATGCAGTAAAACAGAATTATATAACCTGTCCCTGTTACTTTATAATACAAGAAATACTCATACCAGAGCGTGCACTTTTTTACTAAGAATGCATATTTTACTTCAGACTGATGAATTGCCGATCACGTATTTATTCATGGAGCGCCGATTCCATTCTGTTATTGCAAATTTTGGATGATCGATGTTCATTATTAACAATTTAGCAGTTTATTTTTCTTTCTCAAAGTCCCTTGAGAAATCCCCAAATCCCCTCACATATTCCTAAAATCTCGCAAAATATATCCTTTAATTAAAATCCGCTGAAAATCTCGCAAAGAATTCCAATATCCCTGGGTATTTTTCCTGGGATTTCGAAGCCCTCAAAATCCTCGTAATAATCAGAGTATTATATCCCTCGGCTTTCGGCGGTCAATACGGAGTGGCGAGGTGCATGCAGTTAAATGAAAACTCGCATTATATACGGATCTCGTCAGTAAAACCTTAACAAATTAAAATAAATTGTCATACCACCGGCATAGACAACCATAATACTGTGATTGAGGACTGACATGAACCACTGAAAACTATTTCCCAACAGACTACTTTCCGAGAAGGATCTATAATTCAGGATCTATAATAGGAATAGTATAGCTAGGACAGAAATCATGGCCAGCCGAGAATTTGAAGAAATAAATCCATACAGATACAGACCGAACGCGATTCGACAATGCGACGAGAATTTTCAGTTTTTAAAAGTATATAAAACCGTCAACGGATAAAATTTTTACAAGATTTGCAGACCAAATAGCTAAAAATACCTAAAATTGTTTTAAGTGGTTCCCCAAATCGCGTTGGGTCTGTATGGCCCTTAAGAAGCAGATTTCGAAAAATAAAATTATATTGAAATAAAACAATACGAATTTTTTAATGCAGTAAATCTTCGATTTTATTTCATCAGCCATCCCTTTATTAACTGTGGTCATCCGTAGTCATCATCACTTCAGACTATACAGGGTGTATCAAAAAAAGCGCAACCTCGACTGAAATGTAAATTGCTAAACAAATAATAGACGAAAACGTTAAAGTTTACATTCATTTTAAAGCGTAGCCATTCAGCTTTCTAACAGTGGGTTGTTTCTTAAATTTAACTCATTGGTTCGCGGGTAATAATACTTTACGTTATTGCGATTGGAGATTAAAAAAATTGAGATGGAATAACAAATCGTTCTCATGAAAATAACTGATTTTTTCATTAAAACAAAAAAATGTTGCATTTTAATAAATGGATTATAACAATAAGTATAATTACGGCTTTTCTTCCACTATTTTTAACACAGTTTGAAACTTCAAATGCGATATAATTTTGGCTTGGACCATCTAAGCTGACTGACATCAACTTGCTATAATTTCTGTTTACATTACATCGCAATTCGATGACACTCTGGGGCTCAGACACCAGAATGTTTTGACGATTTTTAGCATTTGTTTAGGATTTTCAAACAACCTGGTCTCTTTTAAAATACTTTTAATTTGTTCTTACGTGGTTTTCCAGATGTAGTGACGACAACATTAAAGTTTAAAGAAGAAAATTCTAACATTTAAACCGACTAAACAATAACATAGTAAACTTGCATAATTAAACAGCAACTAAAAATGATAGGTTTACTAAATCTTTTCCTGTGCAATTATTACTAGCATTGGAGACAAGGATATTAGTTTGTTTGAAAGAGAAAAGAACAGGCTTTGAAGTAAGCCTAAAAGCGTTTAACTAGAAATAGTATTTCGAAAGTTATTAAGCATAAAAGATGAATTGCGTTTATTTTGATACACCCTGTATATATCATCAGACAGAATGGGTGTATGGTGGGTGTGACTATGGCGTCCTCGTGTGATGCTTTTAAAGGGTTTCGACCGCAACGGCAAAACCGTTTAGTTTAATTAATAAATTCGACTGAAGGAAGAGTTATACCAAGGCTTATCTGAAGTTATTGACTGCAACCATGGCTAAACTAAGACGAGAAGAGTTTTTGAGGAAATTGATTTTAATTTAACGAAGTTTTGGTTTAAAAGTTTTCGAGCGAATGGCAAGCGCCTTGCATGGGCATGAAGTGGGCAGGCCATAGGCACAGCTTTTCTGAAGATTCTTATTACCCCAGGATCCATGTATACTCATCAAACCTATGTGTGTGAGTCCATATGAAACTCTTATCGCTTAAATGTGTGGAATACAATACTATGCATTGTCCTAGAATTATCACATTTTATGTCACAAAAACAATCTCTGCTATACGAGTGCCCTGTAGGTAGTGTTACATATACATACATGGACAGAATCAAATTTCATTGGATTGAAAAACACATGTCGTGCAATCGAGTTGCAGCAATGCAGACTTTTTTAGATATACATCGATTTTCCTGCACTTCATCTGTTTCCCTTGAATTGTTTTGGGAATTTTTGTCGTGCAAAATTTGCAAATTGTAGATATTAATAAAGGCGATTCAGAATCATTCAGGTTAATTATTTGCTATCAATCCAATATGGCGAATTTCTATAAGTATATTAAGCAGAATTCGTATCTCTGTTAGTATCTCTATTATAAAGTTGATGTGTTTGTACAGCTGCTTCCACTATACAAGAGCTAGTCCTTAGAATGTTCCTTCAGTTGCTGAAAATTAGCACAAAATGCAAATACGTCTTTGCAGAGCCCTCACTCATCAGTTCATATTCACCTCTGTCCTCTTTCATTTAATAATTCTCAACATGACGTCAATTTCATTATTTTTTAAGGAAAACATGACCTAGACCTAGAATAGCCTTTGTTGTTCAAGGCTAAATATTAACGCCTGGCAGGCTGCATGCATTCCTAACAGACGAAAAGCCCTTCAAAAACATTTACACATCCTATATATCGCATGCAGTCGCGATGGAAGTGCGTAAATCTGTGCCTAAATTAGATGCCATTCAAGTGCCAGTCTCATTTTACGCACGAGGTCTCTTGTAAGTTATCGTTGAAGCTTTTTTGTAGATGGAAATTTTCGAGCGGAAGATTAATATTCAATTTTAGACCTAACGAGTAACGAGGAGCAGCTGCAAAAATGCAACTTTAGGCCCTCTCAGTCTGGCAGCAATCTAACCTCGAAATACTTTAGTCATAAAAAGGTGTCCGTAAATTTTCTTGTGTTTACACCGGGGAGTCATTTTTTAGCGGAAACAACTTTTTTCTTGACCTTGACTGTGCATACGTGCATGTTTGTTTGTCTTTTTGTAATAACCATTACATCTTTCGTCGATGATGTATAGCAAAATCATTTAGGCATTTTAAAATTGTCGGCTTGTATATTCGATGCAAGTTTTTTTTTATGAATTGAGGTCAGTACCGCTTCGTCTTTTTCGAGACGAAGCAATGCAAATATAGTGCATTATCAGTATCGATACAAAGTGGTCTAGATACTGTGCCCTTCCAACCTTAACCTCAAGTACTTGCAACTTAATTGTGTCTCTATCTAGTTTAGAGACCTGCGATACGTTTGTTTATTCAAGGTTTAGTGAAAATATGCCGGATGCAAGATTGATAGTATGGAATGTCTGATTTAGCAGTATTGTCTATGTGTAATTTGAACTGTTTAGATTTTTCAAAAGATATGGACTGAAAAAAAAACTGACTGTTTGGTTTGTTATGCATGGCTGGTAAATATGACAATGCTAGCCAGAAATATGTATACATATAGAAATATGTACACAGCTTCATTGTAAATATTTTTCCTCCAAATGCACATGCATTGATTGAAATACAGAAAAATTTCGCATGAAGTAAAATATAGACCGCATAATTTTTCTAGCTCGTACAACCTAATTAAAGCCGGGCACACTGACAT